GCTGCTGTCTTGCTCACACCAGTGCTGCAGCACTCAGACAGGACAGGACAGGACACAGTGCCACAGCTGACCACACTGCCCACAAGGCCTAAGCTCTGGGTGTCCCCAAGCCGCTCCCCGCCTCCCTCCATAAGCAATACTCACCTTGGCCCCAGGAAGCAGGTGATTCCAGAAAGGGGCCCCCTTGGCATCAGTGCTGCGGCAGGCTGTGGGCACAGGATGGCATGGCAGGACCCTCTTCTTCCTTGGTGGGGACAGGCTCTCATCCTCAGAGCAGGAGTCAGTCACAGCCTCACCAGCAGGCAGCAACTTCCTTTTGGCTGGGCAGCTGCTGCTGCTGAACTGGCTGCTCCCACAGGGTGTTGTCTCCTGAGAGCTCAGGTTGCTGGGCTCAGGGCTGAGCGCTGTTGTCTGCGGAGGTGGGGGCTCCTTGCACCCATTGGCCTCCACTGGCCCTTCTTCTTCTCCCCTAGCCATGCTGCTGTGAGTTGAGCTGCTCTCTGGCTTCTCTCTCTTCCCACCAGAGTCCAGCTGGGTTGTTTGTGCAATACTGTGCAATTCAAGGTTAAGTATGTTGTGGCTACTTGCCGACTCCCCATTCTCTCCATAGTCTGTGCACTGATCCCCCAATGAGACAGGGCAACTGTCTCTCACGTGCAAAGTACTGCAAGCAATGTGCTGAGGCCAGGAGGAGGAAAAGGAGGAGGAGGTGGAGGAGGTGGAGAAAGAGGTGGAAATATCCTGCAACTTGTCCTCTCTGCTGGGCTTGGGGCTGTGGCTAGGGTTGCCCTCACAGCGGTGCTCCACCACCCGCAGCCCACTGTGGGAGAAGTGTTGGGCAGAGCCGCACAAGGATAGCTCCTCCACCAGCAGACCATCCTCAAAGATATCATCATCATCCAGGGAAGGCTGCCCAGGGCCTCCATCACGCTTGCTGTCCGCCCTCCTGTCACCCCAGTGAGTTCGTTTGGGATCTCGTCCCCCCTCTGGAGTTCGCTGCTCAGGGTAACCCCTCTTGACAGACGTCCGGCTGCCTGCCCGCTGTTCCATGCTCTCAGAGGAGCTGGAGAGATGGGAGAAGATGGAGACCTGGTAAACCTTCTGGCGCTTGATCTCTGTCTCATTGTAGCCCATGAGAATGCTGCGGTGGGTGCAGCACTGCGAGGAAGACTCCAAGGGCGTCTCTCCACTGGGCCGGGACAGACTGGGGTCTGTGCTGCGCTCCGGGGGCAGGCAC